CTGGCAGTTCCGGTGGTCTCGGTAGGGAGCGTGTCATTGGTGTTGCTGACAGTGCTGCGGGGAGTGTGACGGGGTAGTGACGAGGGTGGTATGGACGATGCTGATGCCGTTGGGTTGTCACAGTGGCAGTGTAATTGATGAGATGGTGTTGGAGTGGGTATTGCCACTGCTGTTGGCGGCGGTGGTGGTGAGGGCGGTGGCCATGAGCGCGGCGTTGCAGACGGTGTCGGCGGTGGTGTTGGTGGCAGTGGTGGTGATGCATCGTTGATGACGTCACAGGTGGTGATGTCACTGATGTGCTGGTAGCGGTGAAACCATGGTGGCAGCCATGAAGGTGGAGACTGTGGTGAAGTTACGGTGTTGGTCAGGTGGTCTGACTCTCAGGGGGATGTGGAGTCTGCGCCATACCTCACCCCTGCCCCATGAAAAGCACAGCCCCTTCCGCCCCCTCACGGTTAGTGAGCTGGACTGTGGTAGGCCCATGGATCCCCACGGGAGTTGTGGGGAGAGACTGGGTACAAGAGCAGGGGAGACCCACGTGACCATAGCAGGCTGGTCTGGCTGTGACAGGTCGTGGGTTTGGGGCCTGCTGGAGCCAGGGCAGCAGTGTGGGTGCCCAGTGCCGTCAGGACCTGGCACTGGCCAGGCAGGGAGGCGCTTGCTGAATGAGTGTGGAATTTCCGGCTGGTACCCGTGGCTGGTAGGTATTTGGGCAGTGGTCCCTAGACCAGCAGGGGCAGGTGACAGACAGGTGGAGTGTGGCTACAGGTGCAGTGGCGGTGGGTCTGAGAGGGGAGGGTTAGCAGACAGGGTCGGCAGGACCTTGGCTCCTCCAGGTTGGGTGGCTTCCTTGCTGGACTGAAGGATACAGGGCCCCACCCTCCAGGAGCCCCACCTGCCTGGCAGTGCTGAGACAAGGGCCTCTGGGCCCAGGGCTGGGCCGGCTTCCCAGCCGGGGTAGGCACGCTCTGAAGACCTGAGCTCGTGCGGGCGCCCAGGAGCATGCACATGGGTGTCTTGCCGTGGGGACATGAGACACCCAGGAGGCCCTGGTCACAGACCTGTCGGTGCCAGGCTCAGACCCACTCCTCATTAGAGAGGCCCCATGAGCCAACCCCACAGCCTGGGGGCTCGGGTCTCACCCAGCAGCCACGACACAGCAGGACCTACGTCATGCGAGTATCCTAAGCATAGGGATGGGGCTCGCAGAGACCGAGGCCCTTCAGAACCTAAGCGTAGCCCCCAAACTCTGAGCAAGGAGGGACCTGGGCTGATCTAGGCCAAGCCCAGCAGAGCCCAGGAGGTCAGGGCTGGGATTCGGATTAGAGTCCACACAGCAGCAGGGAAGCCTCTGGTAGAGGGTCAGGCACGATGCTTGGAAGCTCATGGGAAAGGCATCTAGGAAGCCTGGCTATCCAGGCAGCTTCCTGGAGGAGGAGACACCAGTCTGATCCATGACTGAGAGTCAGCATGCCACACTGGGAGGCAGCACTCCTGTGGGATGAAGATGTCCAGGGGCCCATCCCAGGATGGCGCTGGAGCAGGGACTGGCTCACCCAGGATCTCAGAAGCCAGGCTGGGAGACTTAGGGGGCCCAAGGAACCCCTGCCTGCAGACACGACGCCCACTTCCTGCCCAGACCCGAGCTCCCCCCACCGGGTGTGCTGTGCCCACTCCTGACTGCTCTTGCTGTGTGGGAGGACACCTCTGAGTCATTCTCACTCGAGTGTGAGCTAGCCTGTCAGCTCCAGGGACCCCGACAGCGCACCGTCCCGTAATAGCACCTGCTCCGTGGGCTGGCAGGAGGATCGTGAGGTACTGAAGGCCCTGGTACAGTGGGCGGCTGGGTAGGCTCTTGGTGGGCCCTCGCCATTACTGTCCCCAGTCACCCTGCGATTGAGGCCTGTGCTGGCCCTGGACAGTCTGTGCGCACTTCATAGGGTGCCACTGGGTCTGAGTGGCCAAGGCTAGGACTGAGCCCAGGACCAGCAACCCTCTGGGGCTGGACTGTGCTGGCCAGGTGGCAGAGGCCAGGTTGCCACTGGGGCACAGTCTCCGCAAGGCTTCCCACACTCCTGGGCTCTGGGATCCTGTGGACCGTGCCTTGAGGGGCTGCCTGAATATAGTGGGCTGGGCCCTCTCCCTCAGGCAGCTCGCGGTGCTTGCTCGGAGCCGCCCTCACCTGGACCATGGGGACAAGTTTGTGGCCCTGCACCAAATGCCACTGTGGGCTGGGGCTGCCCTGAGCTATGGCCACTCCTGGGTTACAGAGGAGCTGCCTAGGGTGAGCTGCTGAGCACAGGGTTCAAGCCTGAGGGTCCAGAAGGTCCTGTGGGTCCTGGGGGCTGAGGCCTTGGCTCCCAGTGCAAGGGAGCAAGGAGGGGTTTCCATCAGAGACACCCTCGCTGCCAGGGCCCTCCTCCCTCTACCCTGAGTCCTCTGGAGTGCAGGCTGCTCTGCTGCACCACACCCAGCTTCCAGCAAGGACTGGGAATCGAAACGAGCCTGCGGGGCAGCAGTGTGACCCAGGCAGTGCACTGCGTGGCCCCACAGCTCAGATAGCCCTGGCTGTGCGGAGGCTGGTGGGGACAGGGCAGAGCCAGGCAGTGGGGCTGGCAGCTGCGGTTCCCAGGGAGTGACTGGGGGTGCCGGCAGGCTAGCAGCCATGAGGGTGCAGCAGTGGGCTCAGAGCATTGTGAAAGGAAGCCTGGGGTGGAGTTAGGGTTGCCCACAGTCAGCTGCAAGTATGGGGCAGGAGGACTCGGGGCCTGGGGCGGGGGGGAGACAGAGGAAAGCCTGGGTGTGGCAAGGGGGCCTGGGCACCCACCCTGCCCTCCTGTATGCCCCCCAATGGTGGGTATCCCCACTGTGTGGCGGAGGAGTGTCCCAGTACTGCCCTGGGTGTGTGGGGAGTGGACGGCTCAAAAGTTGGGTCCCTTGAGTTCACGGATAAGGAGGTCACTGATGACCTGGGAGGGACTGAGTCGGGGTCCCCATGGAGGGTCATCAGCAGCTGAGGCGTGGGCATGGCCAGGTCTCCCCAGGAGCCCCATCAGACGGGGGCCCTTGTTGCACCCCAGGACTCCTCCTGCCCTGGGGGGTTTCTCTGCCCTGTCTCTCATTCCCTTGCACCTGTCGGGTATGGAGAGGTAAGTGTGACTGACCCAGACTCCCCAGGTCTGGGCCTAGTAGGGCCTAGCTCCATGGCCCAGATATTCCAATTGCTGCAGCTCGGACAGAGACAGCAAGTGTCGTGTGAGAGCAGCCACTGTGTGCCGGAGGTGGGAGCAGTCATCGCGTGGCAGAGAGGGACAGGTGCCCCGCAGCAGCAGGGATCTGAGCCAGGCTCCGAGGCATGATCTGGGTGTGAGAGGCTGCTTCCCAGAGGTCGGGGTTGAAAGGAGCCTGCCCAGGCTGGTGTACGACACAAGCGAAGGTCCTCAGTCTGGACCACCTTGGTCCCCACCGTCCGCTGACACCTGGGGCTGCGGGAAGCCTTCTTCCAAGCTCTCTTCCTGGCTCTGCACAGCCTCAGGCGGGTGGCCCTGAAGCGTCCCCTCAGTTCTGCTCTTCATTCAGGGTTCGGGTGTGTGTGTGGAGGGGAGCAGGGGCGGCCAGCAGGTACAAGCTGGGATCGACCCCGCTGCTGCCTCGCCGGTGGCCTGGGACACCGCTACCTCTCAGAGCCCACAGAGCTGCCCGAGGGATCTGGTAGAGAAATGCCGGAAGCTCGGTGGCAGGCCAAGTACCTGGGGAGCTGCGGGTAGGGATGGCTGCC